AAAAAAAAAAAAAAACCCCAGTGTTGCCTTGCAGGTCAGGCTGATCATATATAGATTGTAGTGTTTGTTTTGTTGATGCAGAAGGATAGTCATGTGTATTAGTGGAATATCTGTTTTAAGTGTGTTTTCCTCATTGCTTTTCATAGTGAAGTTAGTAAGCAGTGTATTTGTGTTGGTAAAGATCAAGGTATATATGATTGGAAATACAATTGGATAATTCTGTAAATCTGTTTATATCAAGCAATGACTGTTTTCTCATGACACAGACAAATATGGCAAAGAGACAGTATAATTTGTTGGCAGTTGAGATAGAAGAAGAACTGATAGTGTTGGTTTTAAGGAAGTGGTCCTCACCATTTTCACTAGTTCAGGTAGTAAATAAGAATTCAATGAGGTGGAATGTGAAATTATTCTGCAGAAGAGAGTGAAGAGGAAGATCATGATGGAGAAGAAAAAATGCAAATGTGGAGCCTAAGAGAAGGAGACCATGCCCATTTGTAGACACCGATCAGCCTACAGCTCCAATGATGACACCATCAGGACTGATAAGGAACTCACAGCCAATAGAGGATCATGGGAGATGCTAATTGGCTATTGTGAGGACTCAAAGGAGTATGACTGAGTAGAACCCACAGCTCCACTGGATACTTTCCACTTTTTTTTTTTTATAATGAAACAGTGGATGTAATTATCAAATTTACAAATCAGAGACTGCATCTAGTCAAAAGAATTACATAAGGTCATATTCAAAATTCTGGCAGTTTTGTAAAAGAAGAAATTTGGGGGCTAATTGGAATTCTTCTCAATTATGTACACCAGCAAAATGAAAGACAGTATCTGAGATCTCTTCAGTGAGAAGAATTTTCCAGTTTGCTGTGCTATGCTTTCAGAAGTCAGAATGAGACTCATACTGAGGTGTCTACATTTTGATGATGCTGCAACATATGAAGCTCACACACAGCTTGATACATTTGATCCAGTGTGAGAGCTTTGGAATATGGGTTATAAATAGCTCTCACTTTACTACAGTCCTCATAAGTCTGTCACTGTCTATGAGGAATTGTCTCTCCGTGTGTTGTCCATTCAGGCTACATACCAACTAAACCCGGCCAGTATGAAATTGAAGCAAATCTTTTGTGTGATTCTTCCACAAACTGCTGTGTTGCCATATGCTGGGAAATCCGAGAACCTGAGAAATTACCACAGTGCCTCCAAAGTTGTAAAAAGATTGGTTCAGAACTGTCATTTGGATCATTTGGAAGAAATATTACCATGGATATGAAAGTTTACCTGCATTCCTCTGACTTTTAAGTTGCTTCAAAAGAATATGACCACAGTTGGTACCATTCATAGAGTAATAAGAGATCTACCTCTAGAACTCAAACCAGCATCTATGAAAATCTTGTCCACCTGGTACAGTAAGATTTGCCTTCTCTCCCTATGCTGACATAGTTATGTTCCAAAGGCAGGAAAGGTATTTATAATACTTTTCATATAACATGAAGATAAGAAGGTAGTGGATAACTTGTATAATGCTACTGAAGTAGGTATTGATGCTTTTCTTAAGTGCATGGGAACGTATCATATTCCTGTTGCTGGGGAGCTCGGTGTTTTCCTCTGGCAGTTTTCTTCAACATGATTGACACTGTGGGCATACAAGTTGTATGTGATTTTTCAGGAAACAGCCACTGGCCACAACTTCCATTTTGAGAAACAATCAGAAGAAAATACTATTTGAAAAATTTAGCACAACAGCTCTTTGACCATAAGGGATGCCTAATGTGTGTGCAGTCTCCACAAAAAATAGACAAAAGGCAATGAATCTTTGAGGACATGAGTACAGTGAAGGACAAGGCACAGTGACAAGAGGACAGTTCATACCCACCCAAAAGAAAGTTAAAGGAGTGAACACCTTACAAAAAAAAGTCACAGCTACCTTTGTCCCTGTGGGAAAGAATGGAAATAAATGAAGGCATGCAGTGAATGCAGCAAATACATCTGTCCCAATCACACATCAAAAATATGAAAAGGACATGCAAAGAATGTGATTTCAGTGTTGTTAGTTACTTGTAAAAGGATATGTAAAACATAGGCTTTTTGTGAAATTATAGTACTAGTTATTCTGAGCACCCCCTGCACCCCCCATTGGTGTTCGTCTGGTTCCAAAATAGCATTGGTACACCACAGTGCAATCATGGTGGACTGACCCTTTTATCATTACAAGATGCCTCTCTCAGGAAGAAAGCCTGGGCTGCTAAACAAGGATGTCTGGAGAACCCATAGGGAACATTCTTACTTGACAATTTTCACCGAAAAGGGAAAAGAATGTGGGTATGACATAATCTAGGTAACCAATGACCGATAGAAAAAGACAATCAGTGACCACGAGAAAAGAGCAATAATTCCTGGAGTCACAGGCTAGTTAGAGTTGCAGCCAGTTTGAAACTGAGAGGAAGAAGTATTATACCTCTGAACTGCCTTTGCAGCACCATCCCTCTCACCTCTTCTTCAGAGGGACTGACCCACTTCCAGCTCTTTTTCTAAGTGCTCTAAACTTCCTCTTCATTCTTAAATAAAATTTCTCTTTGTTACTATTGAAAAAACAAAACAAAATGTACTTGGTATTGTTTCTGTATCATCTGATATTAGTATAGCCATTTCAGCTTCCTTATAGCTGCTGGTGGAATATCTTTTTAACTCTTTTTTATTTCAGCTGTATTTGTACTTTTGGATCTAAGACGTGTTTCCTGGAGACAACAGCATGTAGTTGGGTAGTTTTCAAAATCCAGACTGACATTATCTTTTTGATTATTGTGATGTTGTGACCTAAATAAATGTCTAGCCTTCCTCACCATTTCATGGCATATATAACTCCTAAAATCTGTGCACTCTCCAAAAGTGACAAATGTCTTTTTATATTCTAATAAGTTGACTTATCACTGGTAACCCCTGGGCAGTTTCAGGATGGGTGCTGGTCACCTGAAAGGCCAACACCAGCTTAGAGTTGGGACTGGCAGCCCCACCCCTCACTTCCAGTTTTCTTCCTTAGTTCATTTTCTGTTGCTGTAATAGAGTGCCTGACACTGGGTATAAAGAAAAGGAATGTATTTCTTATACTTCTGGAGCTCAAGAACTGTAAGGTTGGGGGGGGGGGAGACACATCTGGTAAGAGAGAGAGAGTAGGTTGAGTTGATCACTGACATCCAATTTAATGGTTTAATCAGTCATGTTTGTGTGATGAAGCCTACATAAAACCTTCTAGGGCTTGGACTGCCTCTGGAAAGCTGCATGTGTGGAGGTTCCTGGAGGGTAGCACAGTCAGGAGGGCATGAAAGCTCTGTGCCCCTTCCCATATAACCCGACCCTAGGCATCTCTTTGTGTGTGTATCCTCTATAACATCTTATAATAAACCAATAAATGCAAGTAAAGTGTTTTCCCTGCGTTCTGTGAGCTGCTTTAGCAATTAGTCAACCCCAAGAAGGGGGTTGAGGGAAGTCTATGTATAGCTAGCTGATCAACCTCTGTTGTTTTACTTTTTGTTTTCTCTCTTTTTTTAATCCTTCTTTCTTTATTTTTTTGGCATTAAGTGAATATTTTCTTTTTTTTTTTTTTTTTTTTTTTGAGAAATGCCTGGGTAGAGTGCCATGGCATCACGCTCACAGCAACCTCCAACTCCTGGGCTCAAGCGAGTCTCCTGCCTCCGCCTCCCAAGTAGCTGGGACTACAGGTGCCCGCCACGACACCCGGCCATTTTTTGGTTGCAGCCATCATTGTTGTTTGGCGGGCCTGGGCTGGGGATTTGAACCTGCCACCTTAGGTGTATGTGGCTGGCGCCTTAGCTGCTTGAGCCACAGGCACCGAGCCAAGTGAATATTTTCTAATGTAGCATTTAAATTTCTTTAATGATGTTTTTACTGTATATTTTTATTGTGTTACAGAAGAACAAATTTCTTTTTTTTTTTTTTTTGAGACAGTCTCATTATGTTGCCCTGGGTAGAGTGCTATGGTGTCACAGCTCACAACAACCTCGAACTCTTGGGCTTAAGCGATTCTCTTGCCTTAGCCTCCCAAGTAGCTGGGACTACAGGCGCTAGCCACGATGCCTGGCTATATCTAACATTATAATAAAACAGGAACAACAGATGCACATGTGTGAGAAGGGACATAGAGCTTCCATGCCCTCTGCAGGTGCCCCACTGTCTGGGTACCTTGGTATTTCATCAGTCTGGAAGCTCACCAATCTCTGTCTTGGGGTTTTATGGAGTTTTATGTATGTAGACACTATTGGCAATCAACTTAACCTTTAGCCCCTCTTCCCTCCTTGGATGTTGGAGTGTTATACAGCACCAACCCTCTAACCACATAGTTGTCTTGACCCTGACCTAAGGCTGTCCAGAAGCCCAAGAGTAGCCTCATTAGAACAAAAAATGCTTCTGTCACCCCAGGAGATTGCAAGATCCTTGGAAACTCTGTGTGAGGAAACAGTATCAAAGACCAAATATCAGAGCAAAAAGATCCTCCTTGCCCCCCTATATACAAGAATTTTAGGAATTCTAGACGTGGAGCCAGGGTGGGATATATGAGGATTGCCCACAAAGTATACAGCCATCGTTAATATAACAAGAACTATTTACACTGCTGGATGTTTTCCAGCCAGCTTCGAAGGTTTCTTATCACCACGGCCACAATAACAAAATGCCACAGACTGGGCGGCTCAAGCAATAAAAAATTATTTTTCACAGTTTTGGAGGCAAGAGGTCCAGGGTCAATATGTGTAATTTGTCTTCTCTGAGGCCTCGCTCTGTGGCTTGCAGGTGGTGCTTTCTTTCTGTGTCCTAACATCCTTCCTGTGGGCCAGCATCTCTGGTGTCTCTCCTTTTTTTTTTTTTTTTAGACAGAGTTTGACTATGTCACTCTGGGTAGAGTGCCATGGCGTCCAGCTCACAGCAACCTCAAACTCTTTGGGCTTAAGTGATTCTCTTGCCTCAACCTCCCAAGTAGCTGAGACTACAGGTGCCCACCACAACGCCTGGCTATTTATTTGTTGCAGTTGTCATTGATGTTTAGTTGGCCTGGGCCAGGTTGGAACCCACCACCCTCTGTGCATGTGGTTGGCACCATAACTGCTGTGTTATGGGTGCCACCCTGGTGTCTCTCTTCTTATAGAGGATACCAGTCAGTTTAGACATCTACCCATATGACCTCATTTAACCCTGATTTCCTCCTTAAAGGCTCTAGCTCCACATACTTTGGGCATCAGGGTTTCATGTTTGAACAGAGTGGAGGGAGATACAATTCCGTTCATAACAGGTTCCCATCTCAAGCTGGTTTGAGAGGGGTGGTTATTGCTGCTTTTTACTTAGGAATTTTCCTGGGAAAAGGGATGTGAGAAATATACATACCTTTCTTTGGAATCTGTTTAACCCCCCAAAAGTGCATGGCTTCAGTCTTTTTATTTTTTTTCCCTAAGCACTATGACTTATTCTGTTCCCAACCTTGTGACCTAGTCAAACTGTAGTGTGCAAGAAAAACATAGTTCTGACAAGGATGAGTGTGGTAATGTGAGTATTAGCATATGGTGATTGATTTTTTTTTTTTTTTAATGAACAAATTTTATTTTTTAGGTTAGTTTTAGGTTTATAGAAAATGAAGGAGGCTTGGCGCAGTGGCTTAGGCCTGTAATCCTAACTTTTGGAGGTGGAGGCGGATGGATTACCGGAGCTCAGGAGTTGAAGACCAGCCTGAGCAAGACCGAGACCCCGTCTCTAAAAACTAGCCGGGCATTGTGGTAGGCACCTGTTATCGCCAGCTACTTGAGAGGCTAAGGCAAGAGGATCACTTGAGCCCAGGAGTTTGAGGTTGCTGTGAGCTATGATGCTGCCATACCTTACCAAGGATGACAAAGTGAGACTCTGTGTAAGAAAAAAAAACGAAAAGAAAAAGGAAAGGAAGAAAATGAAGACTGGGCCCAGTGGTTCATACCAGTAATCCTGGCACTCTGGAAGGTAGATTGCTTGAGCGCAGGAGTTGGAGACCTGAGCAAAAGCAAACCCCCATCTCTACTAAAAATAGACAGACTAGCCAGGTATTATGGTGGGTGCCTGTAGGCCTACTTACTTAGGAGGCTGAAGCAAGAGGATTGCCCAAACCCAAGAGTTTGAGGTTGCTGTGAGCACTATGATGCTATGGCACTCTATCTACCCAGGCAACAGATAAGACTCTGTCTCAAAAAGAAAAAAAATGGAGCACATAGTACAGAGCTGCTCCTTTGTAGGAGGTTTATGGGACCTTCCTAACTGATGTGGATGTGTTATTATCAACTAAAGTCTGTACCTTACATAAGGGTTTATAAGTAGTGTACAGGTCTATGGATTTTGATAAATGCATAATATTCTATATTTACTATTACAAGAGGTTTTTAACAATAAAAAATCTAAGAAAGGACACAAAAGATAAGTGTATAGCTCAGGGATTATCATGTAGGGAACATGGCCCTTTTGTGCCATTACTAACCACTATTCCCTCAAACCTTGTAAAAGGTACCACTGTAGCTCATAGATGATTTTGCCTTTATTTATATCTATATATAAAGGGAATTATTATTTTATGCCTAGCTTTTTTCACACAGTAGTGTATTTGTTAGATTCATCCATCCTGTTGCATATAGCTGAGTTTGTTAATTTTCATTACTGTATTGTTCCATTATTAAGAGTATATATTGCCTTCATTAATTTGTTTCCAGTTTTGGCTTACTGCACATGATGCAGCTGGCTATGTTACTAATCATGCATTTCTGTTTGGTATATGGCTTGGAATGAGAATTTTAGAGGTCTGAATTGTATTTGTTAACCTTTAGTAGGTGACGTCATATATTTTTCCAAAGTGTTAGACAATTTGCAGACCATTTTCTGTTTCTGTCACTACTGTATCAGAGTCCATTTGTTCCACCTTCTTACTAGTTTGTCATTACCAGTTTTAAAGTTTGATAGAATTCCAGTTTGTTTGAAAATACTTTTTTTTTTTAAACAGTCAACCTCAGTAGAGTGCTGTGGCATCACAGCTCATAGCAACTTCCAGTTCTTGGGCTCAGGCAATTCTCTTGCCTCAGCCTCCCTGGTAGCTGGGTCTACAGGTGTCTGCCACAACACCTAGCTATTTTTTTGTTGTAGTTTGGCCGGGGCCGGGTTTGAACCCGCCACCCTCGGTATATGGGGCCGGTGCCCTACTCAGCCACAGGTGCTGCCCCTATTTTAAAAGACTTTTTATTTATGAATTAGTTTATGTCTAGAAATCTTCGAGGCCATAAAATAACATTGCATACCCCTAAGAAGTAAAGATATTGGGAACAGACAGTAAGAACTTTTTAACTATATGTTTGAGGGTTGGTTTTTTTTTTGGTAATAATAATGAACATGGGCTCCGCGCCTGTGGCTCAAGCGGCTAAGGCGCCAGCCACATACACCTAAGGTGGCGGGTTCAAATCCAGCCCGGACCCACCAAACAACAATGATGGCTGCAACCAAAAAATGGCCAGGCGTTGTGGCGGGCGCCTGTAGTCCCAGCTACTTGGGAGGCATAGGCAGGAGACTCGCTTGAGCCCAGGAGTTGGAGGTTGCTGTGAGCATGATGCCATGGCACTCTACCTAGGGGGCTTGAGGCTCCGTCTCAAAAAAAAAAAAAATAATAATTATAATGAACATGGATTACTTAAAATACAGTATTACTTAGAATTATTTTTACTTGTTAAAAAGTCTGAGCAGACTGACTGGCATTTAAATGTAACCAAATGCTGGCTGTATTACATAGAATGAATTTCTGTTAAACATTCCTAAAATTTCATTCGCATTTGCCTTATGTGTGTATTATTGCATTCCTTCACCATTGCTATATCTCTTCCTAAATTAAAGATGGGGTTTGTCTAATCTAAAGTTTCAGCTACTAATTTTTTTTAGAATCTAGGCCAAACAGTGTTTTAATAAAAAATCTTTATTTATTACAGGTTTCTGATGTTCAGCACAACTGACTTTTAATACACTGCTACTATATCAAATCGACAATGAATTGGAATGCAGAACCCCAGAGTGCTATACTACCACCACCGTACTCTAAAAGCCAGTCATCTTTTTCACAGCAGTCGTTAATAAACCAGTTTACCCCATCTCACAGTACTTTTAGCTATTCTGGAAACAATCGAGAAACATGCATGTATCCCAGTAATTCAAATACTGTATCACAGCCACTGCTGAATATCCAAAATTATCTTCAACAAATCCCTGTTTCTGATGTGCATAATGGGACAGTTGTAGCTTCACAAACTTCATTAGAAAGATTAACACTTTCAAATGCTAAAGGACACAAACAACTAAATCATAATTTACAGATGTCTCCAGGAGTTACACAGAATGCATGGTCGAACTCACCAGTGAGGAATTCTATGCCTTCTCATACAGGGGCAACTGTATCTCATCACACTGATTTTGGAACAAATATACCCAGTGTACATGCACTACAGAATCAACTGGTAACATCAGACACGTATTCTACTCAACTCCAAATGATGCCTTCTAATTCTCTAAGAGCTCCTGTAACTTATCAAGGGAATCAGGGACTTAACCAGTCTAATTCAGTTCGCAACATTGAAGGTTGGGCACAACAGTATACATCTAATGGACTGACTTCTCCAGATTACAGACCACTTCCAAAGCAATACTGTTACTCACCTCAAGGTTTTATACAAGATCCTAATATTCAGAAACGAAATCCTGTGCCATCTACATCATTACAAGTTAAAAACAGTCACTTTCCAAATACTGCTACAGCTTTACAATCAAAGCAGTCTGCAGCTGTACTGTCGCAGCAATATGCCACTCCAGTTGACAAAAGACTTGCCCCTCCACCCCTTCCTCTTTATGACTGTAGATATGGAAGCCAGCCTTTACAAAGTGCTCCGCTTGTTCTTAAACGTTTGTCTGTTGAAGTTCCTCAGAGCCAAGAAACACACTCATCTGAAGTAAGGATGGACTCTTACAGAGGCTTTCAACAGCAGTGGCAAAACCCTCTTGAAAATGTCAGCACAATTGGAAATTTCTGTAACGTGAAAGTAAACGCCAATGTCAAACAGCCTTTTCTTGAACCAGTTAGATCATCTATGGATGCTGTTCAGCCAGTTGCTCAAAATAATCAAGAGAAAAGAATGGATTCTTGTAATCCAAATCAAATACTGGATACAAATGTCACAAAAGAAAAGCTAGTGAGAGATATTAAAACGTTAGTAGAAATAAAAAAGAACTTTACAGAACTTGCAAGGAAAATTAAAATTAGTAAAGATCTTTTGATAGCAGCAGGTTGTATTAAAATGAGTAATACCTCTAATAGTGAACGAGGTCAGAATTCTGAATTGTTCAGACAGACTGCCAAAATTCAGTCTGGACTACGAGTAACTCCAGGGATTGCAAAGGGACAATCACTAACAGCAACAAAATCTACAGAAACAAATAAAACACACTGTTCATTGACTTCCAACATTCAAGAAAGCAATTGCAGAAAGTTTAATCAAGTCAATTCTGTTGTACTAAATTCCGTCTCTTCAGCAAAGGTCCCGGGCCAGTGTCATGATTTGAAAGTTCTGTCTTCTTCAAAGACATCAACTGTTGAGATGACCCAGGCAACATTGAATAACAATCACCTTTCATTAGAAAATTCTGTCCAAGTTGAACAAAATCTGCCAACAATTTGTGAGACTGTTTCTGTTCCTCCATCTGTGTCTGCTGAGGAGTATATTTCAAAACACCAAAATAAGAATAGGCTGCTTCTCAATTTGCTTGTGCAAGGAGAGAGAGTTGAGGAGAAATCAAAAGATGCTAATGAACCTAGTCAGGATTCTAAAGTAGATAGTTGTGAAATGATTCTGAATACCCAAGTCACTGTTAACCAACTGAATTTGAGAACTACAGAAACCCTAAGTACTTCTAATGTAAGTGCCAGGATTTCAGGTAACTCTTCTTGCATCAAGCATGACTCCTCAACAGAGAGAATGCCTGCTAAAAGTGACAGTCCTTATTCCATGGAATTACTAGCAACCTGTCTTTCTCTGTGGAAAAAGAAGCCTTTAGAAACTGCAGAAGATAAACAGTGTAATGAGTCAAGAACAAACAAAACCGAGGTTGGAGTTTCAAGGCCTATGGATGTCTCTGCTAAGAGGACTTGTTCAGTTGTGGGCAATTCTCCAAATAAAATCATTAATCCCTCACAAACAACTTTGTCAGTGATGGTGCCGAATTATGAGTCTTCAGGAACAACTGTAACAAAGGGAACAGAACTTCAGGTTGCTGTGGTAACACCCTTAATTCTTTCAGATGTCAAAACATTGTCAGTCAAAGGAATAATACCTGAAGCTTTACCTGAAACAGTATATCCAGTTATTAAAGAGGGCAGTGTTTGTAGCTTACAAAATCAACTGGCAGAAAATACAACAGTAAGTGCTGCTTTAAAAGATGATGTTAATGGGCCCGTAGCAAGTACTGTAACATCAACCAAGATTCACCCTCTGACTCAAAAGGAAAAGAACGAGTCAACTAATGGTGATTCAGAAGGCACACCTAATACCAATGAAGGAAAGTACAGCAAATTGGAATCAGACACCTATTCTCTTGTGAGTGATCAGCAAGCCTTGTGTAAATCAAGAGACATTACTGTCGTGAATAGTGATATATTACAGATTGACAGTATTTGTTCTCTTGTTGAAGGTGATGTATCATATAATTCCCAAATAGCAAAGATATTCAACTCTCTACCGATGGAAAAGGTTGAGCCACAGAAGCCTCTACCCAGTCAGGAAGGGAATAGTTATAGAGAACAAAAAGAACAACTAGATAATACCACTGAAAATAAAGACTTTGATTTTCAAAAAGATGAGTTAATAGAGTGTACAGATGTTTCACATAAATTATCTGATATGTCAAAGTCACAGCAACCTCCAGAGTCATTGTCTTTTAATGCTGAAGCAAGTAGAGGCACTCTAGAGCAAAGCGGGGTAGCACATAGCATGAAGGAAAGCACAGCTGGCAATGTGTGTTCATCAGCTGCTACGCCGCTGGATATTGACCCTCAGGAAATCGATGTATCCAGCAATTACATTGCCCAAGAGCCCACAAGAAATGAGATTGACAGTGATAAGACATTGTATCTACATGATCAGCTTTCAGAACTTCTAAGAGAGTTTCCTTATGGCATTGAAGGTATAAACAGATGCAAAGGTTCTGTGGGTCTACCAATGACCAACCATATTTCAGAAGACCAAGCGACTGATAAATCCAGTTGTGACTCCAAAGACTCAACAGATCAAATACAAATTACAATATTAAGCTCAGAACAAATGAAAGAATTATTTCCTGGACAGGATGATCAACCCTGTGATAGAGACAGATCAGAAGAACCTCAGAAAGAAGAGCCTAACACAGAAGTAGGTAGCCAGCATGACCCCCAAGCACCTACAACAGGAGAAAGTCGTGATTCTTTATCAGTGGACTCAGAGAAAGATGATGTCCATTGCTGTGCACTGGGTTGGCTCGCTATGGTTTATGAAGGAGTCCCCCAGTGCCAGTGTGATTCCATCAAGAACTCAGCCTCAGAAGAAGAAAACGGAAAAGAACAGTCTTCTATGGAGACCAGCAATGGTAAGCAAGGAGAGAGAACCTCTGATAGTGATGTAGCTATTGTTGAATTGATACAATTGAATAGTCCTTCAAATAATCCAAAGACTTCTGTGACTCTTCCAGACAGGAACAGTACTTTTCCTGAAATACAAAGCAGCGATACAAAAGATACATCCCAAACCAAGCAGAACAGTTTACTAAAGACAGAACAAAAATCAACTGATCACTTTTCCTCTAAATGTGATAAACTGGTTTCCTTGCAAAATCATGGGAAAAAAAACCTGAAGTACCATGAGGTAACCTTTAATTCCCACCATAAAATGATAACATTTCACGAACAAGCTCAACAAAGCCTGCAGAAGAAACATGGGACCCAAAACTCACGCCCGCTAAAAGCAAAACCAGTCTTAGTGGTAAATAAAGATCACTATAAGAAGAACAGCTCTTTGGTACAGTTAGTAGCATCAGAGAAGAAAAAAATAAAATTTAAAGCAGGGGGCTTCAAACAAAATCATTTGGAAAAGAGGAAGCTGGACCAAGGGAGCATACTAGATATAGAGGTAAAGAAGAGGAAACAGGATATACAAGAGCAGAATAAAAATGTGGGAGGTGCACTCAAAGTACATGGTTCTTCATCAAACCCAAATGAAAGAGCCAGTGTTAAAGACAAGACTGTGTCGAGCACTACATCCTCAGACATGAAGGTGAGCTCATCTAAAGTGAACAGAGTTATAACTGTGCAAGAGTATTTTGAAAGGCGGAAACACAAAGAGGCGATAAGTGATAAAGCAGCAAAGAGAATCCTTGTGAAAAACAGGCCACATAATTCTGAATACTTACGACCCAGTAAGCCTCCTATGCAAGTAGGGAGTTGGGGGAAACCAAATGAGAGGCCCAGTGTCAGCCTACAGACCCCTAAAGAATCATTAAGTGTCTTTACGAACCCTGGTAAAAACCACAAAGTCCACCGTTCCGAGGGGTCTAAAGCATACACCCTTTCAAGGAATGTTAAAGGAACCACTGGTGGAAAGCCGGCTGACAAAATGTGGATTGATAAGGCCAAGTTAGACAAAAAAGTAACCCATATAAATAATGAAGTTCGTTTCAGCCAGATGCCTCCACAAGCAAAGGAACAAAGGAAACTATATCTGAACAGAGTGGCCTTTAAGTGCACTGAACGGGAAAGCATTTGTCTTACCAAGTTAGACGGTTCACCTAGGAAGCTTAATAAAGATAACGAGAAAACACAGGAAAATAAACCTAAAACCCTTCTACCTGTGAAAGATACCACAAAAAAACCAAACATGCTAGAGTTTAAACTGTGTCCAGATGTGCTGTTCAAGAATACGAGCTCCTCTGAAGAAAAGAAGGATTTAAAATCTCATCCTAGGAAGGAGCAAACTCCTATGCAAGGTCCAGTATGATTTTCTTGATCATGTCTACAACACTAAAAAAATGGTAGAGGTCAGTGTTTGGGCTAATGCCTCTGGTGCCATCTGGGTTGCTGGGAAAACTCTTAATGTTACTCCATTTCCTGGTATTTGTTTTTCTCAGCGTTTCATTGGCAATACTTGTTTTTGCCACCTTATTGTAAATTTTGTTGTAAATTAGTAATAAGAGCTATATAAGACTGTAAGGTTTGCCAAATACAGATAATTGGGTACCAAGGAGACTATATTGTGAAAAACATCTTACGTTCCGGGTGACAAGTTAGAGAACTGCAGAGTATACCTTATACCTTATCCTAACAGTCTTGGTTTTGTTAAATCTCCTTTGGACTTCTCATCTTAAAGCCCTGTGAATTTGAAATTTTGGCTGAAATATTAGGAGGTAGGATTAGTAATCTTTTTGTTGATATGAAAATGGGACAATGTGTTACCTGTGTAAAGTCAAAATGGAAATGTCTAGCTTACTCATGAGATGGGAGGGCCCTGAAAGCAGTTGCCCAGTGTTAAACTACGTTCTCTTTAAAGCCAGGATGGCACATTTTAGGTAGCTTATTGGTAGACTTCTTAATGTAGTGCAAGAGAGGAAGAGGAAATGGATGACTGGTTCTTCGTGGTGGTAAGGGAATGTTTAGGGGTTGGGGATATTATATACAGGGTGGCCATTAAAGTTCATGCACAGTTTAAAATAAGGGAATGTTTAGGGTTGTGGATATTATATACAGGGTGGCCATTAAAAGTTCATGCACAGTTTAAAATAGTGTGCAATTTTAAATTGCACATGAACTTTACGACCACCCTGTATAAAGCCTAGTGCTGAGAACATGAGGTTGAAATGGAAATCGTCGTCTTTGCTCTGTTTTTCAGGCGTTTTTTAGGGATGCATAAAGCTGTCGCATAAATAGGGTTCATTTTCTTGGAAGGTGCAAGAGATTGTGATTAAACACATTTTACAAAGTTCACTTTGTTAAAAAAAAAAAAAAAGGTTGATTTCAGTAGGTCCTTTTATTTGGATCCCTAGGATATGAGGAGTGGGTGTAATGGAAACATTTGGAAGTGGACAGGGAAATATAAGTGACTTTGTCTTGTGTGCCCTCAAATATCTTCAGATATGTTATTTTCTTAGGGTTATGTTACATGCAGGTATATTTGGTGTCTTCTAAAATCTATTTTAGACTTACATGACTTTATTATAATAGCAGTATCTAGACATCTGAAAGTACATATTTAAATAGTTTCAGGAATAAAAAGTACAAAAGAAGACTGGTTAAAACGTGCAACTGTGAAGAAAAGGATGCAGGAGGACACTCAAGAAATAGGTAAAATCATCTGTTTAACTTTTCATTTTACTTACTATATATCTGGTATATATAAGTTGGATTGTGATGGCAATGCTGTTAATATAAAGTCTGATTTTATGTGTGTTCTTTTTTCATTCATTTTGATGGTTGATGTCCTATGAATGATAGGACATTCTCTTATTTTCTCTGTCATGCTGTGGACTGGGAAGCTGATATGTATTCCTCTTTTTTTTTCTTTTTTTTTGAACCAGAGAGATTTATTCCTTTTAACAAGAAAATAATCCTTATCACAGTGAGTTATATAATGGTTTGCATATTTTTCCTGTACAGGACCAGATAGCAAACATTTCAAGTTTCCTGTGTCATAAGGCTCACTGTCACCTGCAGTCACATAAAGTTCACTGTAAGGTTGAAAGAGTGATCTTAGTTGAATTTTTGGTTGGCAAGTGATTTTTTTTTTTTTTTTTTGAGACTGAGTTTTTCTTGCCCTCGGTAGAGTATCAGGGCATGACAGCGCACAGCAACCTCAAACTCTTGGGCTTAAGCAGTTCTCTTGCCTCAGCCTCCCAGGTAGCTGGGACTACAGACGCCTGCGACAGTGCCTGGCTATTGTTTAGAGATGGGGTCTTGCTCTTGCTCAGGCTGGTCTCAAACCCGTGAGCTCAGGCAGTCCACTCACCTCAGCCTCCCAAGTGCTGGGATTATAGTTATGAGCCACTGTGCCCAGTGGCTGAGCTGAGCACTAAACTAGAAAAACGAGCTTTCAGGATCCCATTTAATTAGTAGAATAAGGCTCAGTGCCCACAACCACACTGGTTGCGGTGCCAGCTAGAAACAACAATGACAACTGCAACAAAAAATGGCCGGGTGTTGTTGCGGGTGCCTGTAGTCCCAGCTACTTGGGAGGCTGAGGCAAGAGAATTGCTTAAGCCCAGGAGTTTGAGGTTGCTGTGAGCTGTGATTCCACAGCACTCTACCAAGGGCAACATAGTGGGACTGTCTCAAAAAATGAAAATTTTTAAAAAATAATAGTGGAATGAAAGTACTTTATTAAAAATAGGAGACTTGACAAAGTGTGAAGAGAGTGTAAGACTAATAGTCCATAAGCAGACATGTAGAAATTGAGTCAGATGAAACATGTATATAGGATGAAACTAAGTTAAATCAAAGAAAGAAGAAATGCACCCTTCATCACAGCAGGAAATCGAACTATAGGGAGGGAATAAAAAGAGCAAGGAGAGATTTGTGAGTGAAAGAAATACCCCTCAGGTTGGAATACAGAAAGCCAAAAACGAGAAAGATGGAAACGGGCACAGAGATCCAGGCCAGAAAGGTCCATCTTTGGAAACCGTTGAGACAGAAACAGTATCGTGAAGAAAAAGTGAAAGGCATGTTTGGAATCCAAGGCTGAAAATACTTGAAAGACAGAAACACAGATTGACCAAAGAGGCTCAGAGATAAGCATGAGCCCGATGACACGCATAAAGATAGCAGGCAGGATGAGCAGCACGTAGTCAGCATAGACCTGAAATGCTCAGAATCGTGATGAAAACCTACAAGCCAGAAGCTGGGTGCGGCGGCTCATGCCTGTAATTCTAGTCCTTTGGGAGGCTGAAGCGGGTGAATTCCTGAGTTGAGGCATTCAAAACCAGCCTGAGCAAGAGTGATACTGTCTCTACTAAAAATCAGCCAGGCCATGTGACTGGTACCTGTAGTCCCAGCTACTTAGGACAAACCAGGGCACAAATACAGTAAGATCTGAAGCAAGGTAAGACTAACCAGGAATAAGTCCTAGAGCTGTCAAAATATGACGAGACACAGAGGGGTGAAACTTCAGGAGAATAAAAGAAAATCAGATGAGTGCTGCATGGGCATTCAAAGGCCTATTAGGGGCAAATAGAGCCAGCAGTGGAGAACAGAGCCCTGAGGAGGGAAACAGACCTTAGGAGAAGAGACTGGAGAAGAGTCAACCAGCTGTAAAGTGAGACAAAAACTGGTGTCAGGAATTCCCAAGCGGCTACAAAGAAACACTTAAGTGGTATCTAAATTTCTTAAAAAAGGTCGGAGTGTTCATGGAGCCAGTAAAATCGTGAGAAAGAGATGAAGTAACAAGAATCCCTTGGAAAGCAACTTAGAGACCCACTTTGAGTATGAGCATTACTAGCAGAATTTGAAACAGATATCAAGAATTCAGAAGACAATACTTGACTCACTCAGGCAGGAAGAGGTAAAAGAAGACTATTATCCAGAAAGAGGTGGCCACGTTAGGAACCCAAGGGCAGGTGGTCCTTCACTTCACAGCAGTGCGAAAGTGACAGCGCATTCTGTAGAACCCCAGCAACCATTCTGTGGAACTTTAGATACAGTGTTTGGTAAGTTAGACGAGGTACTCAGCACTTCGTTATGAGATAGGTTTTATGTTGGGTGATTTTACCCAACTGTAGGCTGTGAGTGCTCTGAGCATGTTTAATACAGGCTGGGCTGTGGCAGTGTTGAGTACGTAAGGTATGTTTTCAACTTGGGTATCTTCAGATTCTGAAGGGTTTGTCAGGACATGACCCTGTTGTAAGTCAGGGACTATATTCTGAATAGGGGAAGAAGCTCCTAAACTTGAGGCATAGAAACTGCATAGAAAAGGGAAAACTAGGTCCATCAAAAGAAGATCCTGAGGCTAATGCAGCACTAACATGGTCTAGAGACAGACAGGTGCAGACTGCTCCTTGTCTCCACTGCATGACAAGGCCAACATGTTAAAATTACCCTTTTCACTGTTGGCTGGCTGGTTCTTGAGCTCTTTGCATTGCTAGTATAAATAGCTGTTAAAAAGGGCCACAATTGTGTTAAAATACACAGATGAGGCTGGGTACGGTGCCTCACACTTGTAATCCTAGCACATTGGGAGGCTGAGGTGGGTGGATTGCTTGAGCTCAGGGGTTTGAGACCGATCTGAGCAAGAGCAAAACCCCATCCCATCTCTGCTAAAAGTACAAGAACTAGCCAGGTGTTGTGCCACCACATGCCTATAGATAGTGGAGCTACTTGGAAGGCTGAGGCAAGAGAATTGGTCAAGACCAGCCCAGGAGTTTGAGGTTGCTGTCAGCTAGGATGACACGGCACTCTACCCAGGGCAGTGGAATGAGACTCTGTCTCAAAAATAAATAAATAAAAATAAAATGTGCAGATGATAGATTTAATTCAGCCAAGGGTAAAGACAGAGCAGAACAGCCCTGGGCAGTGATGATGGGGGTGAGAGTAGAAAAGAGCCTCCAAAGAAAAGGCAAGACGGAGTGTGTGTATAACCTATATTTATGGGTAAAGAACTGCTGTTTTCCCAAACTCTAGCTTAACTCTAGTGCCCTAATTTTTTTTTTTTTTTTTTTTGTAGAGACAAGAGTCTCACTTTATCGTCCTCAGTAGAGTGCTATGGCGTCACACAGCTCACAGTAACCTCCTCAACTCCTGGGCTTAGGCAATTCTCTTGCCTCAGCCTCCCAAGTAGCTGGGACTACAGGTGCCCACCACAACACTTGGCTATTTTTTTTTTTTTTTTTTTTGCAGTTTGGCCGGGGTTGGGTTTGAACCTGCCACCCTCAATATATGGGGCCATTGCCCTACCAACTGAGCCACAGGCACCGTCCAGCCCTAATTTTTTCTTTCTGAGATTGTGTCTCACTATGTTGGACAGGCCAGAGCACAGTGACCTCAAACTCCTGGGCTAGTAATCCTCTGCCTCAGCCTCTGAAGTAGCTGGGACTATAGGTGTCACCTTGTCTGGCTACTACTTTTTTTCTAATTTTTTGTAGTGATGGGGTCTTGCTTCTTGGTCCCTTTTTCTTTTTTTTTTTTGGGACAGAGTCTCTTATGTCGCCCTCGGTAGATTGCTGTGGCATCACAGCAACTTCAAACTCTTGGGCTTAAGCAAGTCTATTGCCTCACCTTCCCAAGTAGCTAGGACTACGGGCGCCCTCCACAACCCCTGGCCATTTTTTTGTTGTAGTTGTCATTGTTTGAACCCACCAGCCTCAGTGTATGTGGCCAGCACCCTAAACATTGAGCTGTGGGCACCAAGCCTAATTTTCTTGCTTTTAGTAGAGACAGGGTCTTGCTTGTTCTCGATCAGGCAGGGATTTTGCTCTTGTTAGGGCCGGTATCAAACTCCAGGCCGCAAGTGATCTTCCCGCTTTAGCTCCCATGCTAGATTATAGATGTGAGCCACCTTGCCCAGCCATTACCCTAATTTTTTATCCCAAGACGAGTGTACATTTTCTTCTTAATTTTTATTGATTATATAATAGTCATACCCAACATTAAGAGCGACAGATATTTGCTTCTCAGCCTTTTGGCTAAGATCAAGTGAAGATTGAGAAATAAAATTTTTGTTTCCCTTAGATAAGGATGTTAATTCAAGACTGTCCAAGAGAAGCTTCAGTGCAGATGGATTTGAGATGCTACAAAACCCAGTCAAGGATTCAAAAGCCTTATTTCAAACCTACAAACAGATGCACCTGGAGAAGCGAAGCAGAAGCCTTGGGAGCAGTCCTGTCAAGTAATTACAAAATGTGTTCCGTAATTGCCGCTGAGAAATTTCTCATTCTCTTGTTCAGGATGTTTTCTTGGAAATACTCAGAATTGCCATAAGAGAGATTTCTCAGTTGGAGAGTTTGGTTCCCACATAGGTTATGTACTTCACTGAAATTGCTTAATTAAAATGGTTTGAGAACTCTGTGGGTGGGCAGACATAAGAAACAGATGGTATTTGTCAGGGAAACCATAAGGTATTTGAACTTACACATTATTGAGTCAAGTTTACCATTATTCTAAGAGGAATGCTTACACTGACTTAATTTTGAAAGGCTATCTACCTATCTACCTTGAGGGAGGATTGTTCCTTAGTTAGGGACTTGTTTATTTAACTGGGACTGTAAATGTACTTTTGTTTCAAAGCTATATTAGCAAAACTTATTTTTCAAAAATACCCACTGTAAATATCAAATTATATTCTTAAGTATTTTATACCTAATTGTAAAGTTTTTCAGAACTCTTGTTTTATACTTGTATAAAGACACGATTTGAAGACACAAGTGAAGACACAGTTTGAATAATGTGTTAACATTACTTTTCCTATTTGAAATAAACATTTATTTTTTACAAAGCTACTTTGACATTTTCGTGGCTTAATTTCTTTTTGGTTTTCTATCCTTACAGTAGGCCGCATTTTGGAAAGGTCATTGTAAGTTGAAATGTCACAGCTTGTTAGGTGTCGCAATAGATATTTTTAGATTACATCAGGTGAGGGCACTATGTTTTCCTAGGCTAGGAAATTGTAAGAAAGGCAAAATAAAACAGCTGTTTGGGGGTTTAGTTTATCACTACTAGAAAAGCGTTGGTTATTTTTATAAAGTCTTAATATTCTATGTATCATTACATTCAAAGTGCAAGGTGGACCAATAGATTTTGGTAAAACGATGCAATTCCTTGTGGTTTCAGCTTTCATAATACAACCTTTAGGAAACAGTTACGTGTTGCTTATTGACAGGGAGTGAGTTGCATCCCTAGGTGATTTCATCCTTGCATGAACATTAAAGAGTGTACTTACACCAACCTAGATGGTACAGGTTGGGCATCCCAAATCTGAAAGTCCAAAATATACCAAATTCTGAAACTCTTTGAGCACTGACATGGCCCTTTGGATGAAAGAACCCAAGACTGACTATTGGTTTTACCAAGTGATAATTGTTATTTGAGGTTCTTTTCAAGAAAATATTTTACTTTGGATTTTGAGTCTTTGGATTAGGGATGCTCATTTGGTAAGTATAATGCAGATACTCCCAAATCTGGAAAAACCTGAAACATTTCAGGTCCTGAGCATTTCCAGTAAGGGATATTGATTGAATCTGTGTATAGCCTGTTACATACCTAGGCTACATGGTCTATGCTCCTCAGCCACAGACCTGTACACCCTATTACCATAACTATATTGAATAGGAAATTGTGACAGTGCTATTTGTGTATCTAAACATAGACAAGGTACTGTAAAAACACAGTCAAAATGATAAAGAGGCACTTGTGTAGGGCTTTTACCATGAAGGGAGCTTATAGGACCGGAGGTTTGCTCTGGATGAGTCAGTGAATTGCTTTGGGCAATGAATGTGAAGGCCCATGACATTACTTATATTACTATAGGCTTTATAAACACTGGGTGGCACCTATGGCTCAAAGGAGTAGGGCGCCAGCCCCATATGCCAGAGGTGGCAGGTTCAAATCCATCTTTGGCTAAAAACTGTAAAAAAAAAAAACAACTGTAAACTTAGGAATAATAAGCTTAGCTCAAGTTTCCTTTCTAAACTATTTTTTTCTTTTTGTTCCCTGGAAAAGAGTGCATGCAGTACCATAATATAGCTCATTGCAACCTCCAACTGCTGGGCTCAAGCAGTCCTCCTGCTTTAGCCATGGTTCTCACCCTTCCTAATGCCACGACCCTTTAATACAGTTCCTCATGTTGTGGTGACCCCCAACCATAAAATTATTTTCGTTGCTACTTCATGAAGTAAGGTCACGGCATTAGGAAGGTTTTGAACCACTATGCTTTAACCTCCTGGGTAGAGTAGCTGAGAATACAGGCAACACCATGTCCTGCTAATTGTTCTATTTTTTGTAGAGACTGATTCTCACTATGTTGTTCAGGCTGGTCTTGAACTTTGAATCCTGACCTGAAGCAGTCCTGCCACAGCCTCCCATAGTGCTGCGATCACAGGCTTGAAGCACTTCGTTTTTTTGATTGAGTAACATTAGCTTAAAACACAAACACATTGTACAGCTATACAAAAACTTTCTTTTTGAGATTGGGTCTCACTGTCAACCCAGCCTGGAGTGCAATGGCTTGATCATACCTCGGTCTAACCTTGAACTGTCCTCAAGAGATCCTCTAGCTTCAGCCTCCAGAGTAGTTAGGATTACAGTTGTGCACCACTGAGCCTAGCTAATTTTTTAATTTTTTTGTGGAGACGATGTCACGCTTCGTTGCCTAAGCTTGTCTCAAACTCCTCATCTCAAGAGATCCTTCACCTCACCACCCCAGTGGGCTGGGATTAGGTGCGAGCCGCTGCCCCTAGCCAAAAATAATTTTCCTTATATCTTTATCCTATAAGCTTTTTTCTATTGAAAAAACGTGTTTTTTGCTTTTTAAACTTCCTTTATTAAAAACGAAGGCACAGCTTGGTGCCTGTAGCTGGTTAGGGTGCCAGCCACATACACCACGGAGGGCAGGTTCCAGCCCAGCTCGGGCCTGCTAAACAATAATGACAACTACAAAAAAATAGCTGGGGGTTGTGGCAGAAACCTGGAGTCCCTGTTACTTGGGAAGCTGAAGCAAGAGAATCACTTAAGCCCAAAGAGTTTGAGGTTGCTGTGAGCTGTGACACCATGGCACTCCACCGAGGGTGACAGAGTAAGACTGTGTCTCAAAAAATAAAAATGACACAAACCTAGGTCTACATAGGGTCAGAATCATCAGTATCACTGTCTTCCACCTCCACATCTTGTCCCACTGGAAAGTCTTCTGTGCCAGTAAGACACACGGAGCTGTCATCTCCTGGAACAGTGCCTGCATCTGGAATACCTTCTGATAGAAAGTGTGGTATAGTATAGTAAATACATAGACCAGTAATAGTTGTTTGTCGTTACCAAGTAGTACGTACTGTACAAAATAGTATGTGCTATGTGTTTATACTACTGGCAGTGCAGTAGGCTTAGTTACACCACCATCACCATATATTAGGTTATTATTATGTATGAAATGAGTTCCTTAAACACTAAGTTTGATAGTTGACATCTCTGACATTTCACTTAGATGCTTTTTTAAATTTTTATTGTGAAGGAACATCCTCATTCTTTGGAATGTATGTTTTGGCTTGTAATTATCTTTGAAAAAAAAAATTTTTTTGAGACAGAGTCTCACTTTGTTGCCCTTGGTAGAGTGCTGTGGTGTCACAGCTCACAGCAACCTCCAGCTCTTGGGCTTAGGCAATTCTCTTGCCTCAGCCTCCCGAGTAGCTGGGACCACAGCTGCCTGCCACAACGCCTGGCTATTTTTTGTTGCAGTTTGGCCGGGGCCGGGTTTGAACCCGCCACCTTCGGTGTATGGGGCTGGCGCCCTCGTTGAAATTTTTTTTTTTAAGTGCTATTTTTGTAAAACCATGGATACATCAAACATTCGTGTTATTTTCAAAAGAGTTCCGTTGCGGAACCCATGCAGCACGGTTCAAAATATCAACGAAGTATTTGGGATGGATGTGGCTAATGAATATATAGTATGTTGATGGTTTGAGAAGTTCCATTCCAGTGATATTAATCTTGAACATGAGCCAAGTGGGTGATCTGAGACCAAGGTGGATAATGATGAGCCGAAAGCTGTAGTGGAAGCGAATCCATTTCAACCTATACAGTTAGCAAGGTTTGGCATTACTAGTCCAAGAATATTGGATCATTTGAAACAAATTGGCAAGGTAAACAAGCTGGATAGATGGGTTCCACATGAATTAAAGGAGGGTTGGAAGAGACATCCTCTCAAACCTTCCCTTTGTTTGCTGATACGACATTTCTGCACTATGTTGTTATGAGTGATGAAAAACGGATGATTTTTTTACGTTTTCAAGTGTTGGGCTCAATGGTTGGATAAAGAAGTGCTGAAATACTGAATACTCATCAGAAAAGCTAATGGCGTCTGTCCGGTGTTACAACACTGGTATCCACTACAGCCTCATGAAACCTGGTCAGTGAGCTACAGCGGATGTTACTACAACCAAGGGGATGAAATGATAAAGGACGTTTGTGATTAAGCAGCTAAGGTTGGTCAAGAGAGACAGGCCAATCCTCTTCTAACACAGTGACAACTCGTCACACAAACAATGCTGCACAAACGAATATAAGCTGGACTTGACAACTCTGTCATCCGTGATATTCACCAGACCTTGCACCAACTGACTACCACTTCTCCAGGATCACTTCTTGCAAGGAAAAGTATTCAGTTCTCAACAAGCTGGGAAAAAATGTTTTTCTCAATTTCATTGCCATGCATTCTCTAGGTTTTTTTTTTTTTTTTATGCTGCTGGCACAAACAAGCTACTGTTAAGGTGCTGGGAAACTGGTTAGCTACGTAGGAAGACTGAAACTGGACCCACACCACTCACCACTTACAAAAATTAACTCTGGCTGGATAAAAGATTTAAATTTAAGACTCAAGACAATAAAAATCCTAGAGGACAGTGTAGGAAAAACTCTTGATGCTCTTGGCCTAGGAAATTTTATGAAGAAAATTGACCCTGTTGGCAGGTGCACCAAAAATAAGGAGAGAAGATGTTTGCATGCTCTGAATCGGACAGAGGGCTGATAACTAGAGTCTACAGAGAACTTAATCTAATCAACAAAAAAGAGCAAACAATCCCATTTATTTGGATTGTTATCTGTCCAAAGAGATTTGAACAGAAATTCCTCTGAAGAAATCAAACAGATTGCAAGCAAACAAGTGAAAAAATGCTCATCATCCCTAATCATCAGAGAAATGCAAATGGGAAATGCATTTGGAACCCTAGTGAGAATAGCCCTTATCACAAAATCTCAAGCTGCAGATGCTGGCATGGATGTGGAGAAAAGGGAACACTTTTACACTGCTGGTGGGATTTCAAAGTAATATAACCTCTATGGAAAGAAATGTGGAGACTTGGCTCCGTGCCTGTGGCTAAAGCAGCTAAGGCGCCAGCCACATACACCTGAGTTGGCAGGTTCGAATCCAGCCCGGGCCCGCCAAACAACAATGATGACTGCCAACCAAAAAATGGCCAGACATTGTGGTGGGCACCTATAGTCCTAGCTACTTGGGAGGTGGAGACAGGAGAATCCCTTGAGCCCAGGAGTGGGAGGTTCCTGTGAGCTGTGATGCCACGGCACTCTACCCAAGGTGACAGCTTGAGGCTCTGTCTCAAAAAAGAAAAAGAAATGTGGAGACTCTACAAAGAACAAAAAGTAGACTTTTCTTTTGATTCCACAATCCCATTACTAATTATTTACCCAGAAGAAAAAGTCATTTTACTACAGGGACATTTACACTAGAATGTTTATTGCAGCTCCGTTCACA